CTCAAGGGAGGGAGACTGGTAGAGTGCCAGAAGCAAAACTTTAGCCAATCACTAACCAAAAAACAATACAGTCTCCATTATGGCAGTGCATCTCCCATCCCAAGCCTCAGTCATTCCTTGCTTTTTCACTTTGGTTCCCAGACCTCTAAGTGTTTCTTTCCTTTTCCTCAAAAACAGAGAGCATTTTTATACAGGTGAAATCTGGTTGATAATTAATCACTTTGCAAATAAACATGGAATTATGAAAGAGAGAAGAGATATGGGTCAAAAGCTAATGAGTTTAGATCTAGAAATTATCCAATCCAACCTGTTTTACATGGGAGAAAACAAAAGCCTAGCGAGATTAAGTAAAGTGTTCAAGGTGATTCTTACAAACAGAATGGTGGTAATCTAGTTTATCAGCCATTCACAAGAAAAAGATTTGAGAGTTTTAGTGAATTGTAAAATCAATGACAGTCAATGATACAATATGGCTTCCAAAAATGGGATGAAAGCGCTCAAGGGTTTGAAAGACTGGAAGTTAAGAAAGGATGGAAATCTAGTATTCAAAATAAAAGAGGTGATAAGCCCAACACTTCTGAAGTATTGTGTTACATTGAGACACTCAAATCTATGTCACCTAAGGATTCTTTGTTGTTCAGTCATGTCCTAGCTTTGTGACTCCATTTGGGGTTTTCTTGGCAAAGATTTGCCATTTCCTTCTCCAGCTCATTTGACAGATGAGGAAACTGAGGCAAAAAACAGAGTTAAGTAACTTGCCCTGGGTGTTTATGTAGAAGAGAAGAATTAATAGAGAATATACTGTCTTTCAATAGTTAAAAGATTATAATAACATGGGAAGGGGATTAAAATTATTTACCTTGGTGGAACAAGGAGCAATGCATGGAAGTTAGAGAGAGGCAGATTTTAGCTCAATCTAAAGAACTTGACCGCCCAGAAGCTAGATGATTACTTGCTGACAATATTGGAGAAAGGATTCACGTCAGAAATGGGTTGGACTCAATACCCATGGAGGTCTAGTCAAGTCAAGCCAAGCACAGAAAGTCTGCATAGGGAAGTCATTGGAGATAGCTAAAGAAGTCATTAAAGGCCAATCAATCAGTATTATTAAGGCCCTACCATGTGCCATGGACTATACTAAGCACTGAGGTTATAAAAAGAAAAAAAAAACCAGTTCCTGCCCTTAAGGATCTTACAATCTAATGGTAGAACTAACATGCAAACAAAGCAAGCTATAAATGGGATAAATAGGAAATAACTGAAGAGGGAAGGTTCTGGAATTGAAAGGGGTTAGGAAAGGCTTTCAGTAAAAGATAGGATTTTAGTTGGGACTTAAAGAAAAACGGGGAGGTCAGAAGTCAGAATGGAAGAGGGAGATCATTCCAGGCATGGAGGACAGCCCAAGAGAATGCCCAGCACCCAAAGATAGGGTGTCTTATTTATGGCACAGCTTATGAAGGGTCATAATTGACAGACTGATCAGGTCCAGACAGATAGAATCATCTGTCGTGTAGTGGCAGAACAATTAGACACGCACAGAACATTTTTGCTAATGGCCATTTCAACTAGTTATGGCTCCTCCAGTTGTGCTGTAGACAAACTGTTTGAGACCATAATCCATCCAGTCCTCCTCGCCTACCAAAGCTCATAGAATCTAGAACTGAAAGGAGCCTCTGACATTGGCTCAGATATTCACCTAGTTGTGTGACCCTAGGCACGTCACTTAACCTCTCTCGGTCTCAGTTTCCCCATATGCAAAACAGGGATAATATTAACACCTACCTCACAGGGTTGTTGTGTGAATCAAATATGATAATATATGTAAAGTGCTTTGAAACCATAAGGTGCTTTATAATTGCCAACTGTTATTATTGTTATTGTCTTTGTCATTTTATCACATAGGAGAGGCAGCAAGTGTAGTAAAAGGAATGTCCCATATCAAGTGGAGACAGGGATTCCGTCTCTAGGTTCTGACACTTACTATTCCCTGAGTCTCAGTTCCCTCCCCTATAAAAGAGGAAAATGATAATGATACTACCCACATCACAAGTTCATTGTAAGGAAAGAGTTTGTAAACCTTAAAATACTTTAAAAACTTAGCTTATTGCTATTAAAAGGAAGGGAAGGAAAGGGGAAGTACCTCCAATCCTTAACAAAAAAGCAATAGAGTCTCCATGCTGATAATTGCCCATTCAAGCCTCAGTCATTCCCTGGTATTTCATTTTTATTCCCAGACCACTAAGTGTTCTTTTTCTCTACCCCAATACCAGGGAACACTTTTATCTAGGTGAAATCTGATGAATAATTAGTTCACTTTGCAAATGAACATGCAAGGGTTTTTTTGGCAAAGACACTTCAGTGGTTTGCCATTTCCTTCGCTGACTCGTTTTACAAATGCAGAAACTGAGACAGACAGGGTTAAGTGACGGGCCCAGAGTCACACAGCTACTAAGTGTCTGAGGCCAGATTTGAACTCAGGAAGATAAGTCTTTATTCCAGGCCCAGCACTCTATCCACCATGCCACCTGAGTTGCTATGAGCTGACTGTAAATTTGAGAGCCCCAGGTCATTTTAACATCAGCTGGTAAAGTTACTCTCTTGAATCTATTCCCTAGGCTGATGGTACAGTATCCCCAAATCCTAGGTCAAATAATGTTCCCTGAATTATTGAAGAACTCTGGACTTGGAGTCAGGGAAGCTGGGTTTAAATCCCACCTCACAAATTTCTCTCCCCTTTCCCTCTTTTCCTTGTAATAAAACAGCTTATTCACTGTGTGACTCCTGGCAAGTCATCTAATCTACTTGTGCCTCAGTCTCCTCAGCTACAAAATAAGTGGAGTTGGAATCAATGGCATTTAAATTCCATTTAACCTCTAAATCTGCAATCTTATAAAGTTAAAATCTCTGATAAAAACTTCTTTTCCATCCTAAAGGAGGAGCATCTTATTTCCATTATAAAAGGGTCCCAGCTGTATTTTTAAGTAATTAAAATTAATTAGGAGTAATTATGTTTTGAGAAATTAGAGAGGACTGTGGGAATCTCTATATTTCTTAAGATAATTAGTCACTGTGTACTTCAATACTTAAAGTATCTTTTTTTTCATCAGTTTGACTATTATCTCCCCAGATGCATACTGCTACTCCTTTTTGTCTCAATGGGTGGCCGAAAATATTCATCACTGGCGTCAAGTCTTTTTGACTTTAGCTAGCTAGACATACATCACTGGGCCCTTTCTCAAAGCCTCTCCAACTTGAACTCCACTGACATATTCCTTAAGAATTCAGGATCACCACCACACAATGATGAAGCATTGTGGGAGAATGTTATCAGAGAAGTGTCTAGGAAAATGAGGATTGGGCATCAATAGTTTAGGAAGAGAAGTTCAAGCAAGACTTCCACCAGAGGCAGAAGGCAAAAATATTCTTTCGAGAAGTTCTTCAATGTGTTAACTGTATTGTTGACCGCTGATATAAATTTTTTTCCACTTAATAAAAGTGCATATTAATAAGATATGGTTCCTGACCCCAATTTAGGGAAATAGAAAGAGAGACAGAGAGAGAGCTTGCTGTGTGCCAGGCACTGTGCCAAACTGTGAGGATACATATAGACAATATAAGCAAGATAGCATCTACCCTCAAGGACTTCACATTCTAATGGAAAAGGCAATACATACAGGGAAACTGGAAGTGGGGGGGAGGAGGGGAAGATGATGCCATGGTTTCCACATGACTAGGAAATGAAGTTGAGGATTAGTATTGGACAAGATGAGGTTAAAGCTCACCTCTCAAAGCCAAAGGTGGTTCCAGCAGAAGAGTCCAAGTTTTAGGTTAGAAAGAGGGATAAGACATGACCTATATATTCAATGTGAGCCATCAGATTCACACTTGAGCCAAAGAAGTTAATTCAGCATATTCCAAAAGTCATAGTGTCATTTTAAGATTAAAACAGCACTAAGAGTTTCGGGACACCTTGTATACTCTTGAGCTTTATGAGGAAGGCATAGTGTTCAGCAAATGGGAGGTAATAATCCCAATACCCATGCTTTACATTGGGCAAAACACAAATCTGTGGTGCTATATTCAGCTCTGGGTACCACATTTCATACAGGACATACACAAGCTGGAGAGCTTCCACAGGGTGAAAAACAGATGGCAAGGGACCTCGAAACCAGGCCGTACAAGGTTAAGTTGAAGGATTTGAAAAGGTTAACCTGGAGAAAAGACAAGCGGAACAAAATGTTGCTGTTGTTCAGTCATTTCAGTCATGTCTGACTCTTTGTGACCCCATTTTGGGGGTTTCATGGCAAAGATACTGGAGTGCTTTGTCATTTCCTTCTCCAGCTACTTGAAGACATCATGTCAAAGGGGGAATTAAGTTCTATTTAGTACCAGAGGGGAGAACTATGACCACTGGGTTGAGTTACAGAAAAGAAAATTTAGGTTTCTTTTGCAAGGGGGTGTGGGGATAGAAGGGAATAAAATGAACTGCCTTGGCCTGAGATAGACTGGCCCTTGTTAGAGATCTTCAGCTAAAGGCTAAATGACCATTTGTCAGACATATTGTAAAGGAAATTCCTATACAATTTGGTCTAAGTGGTCTCTGAGGCCCTTTGTGAAACTCTGAGGTTCTGTGAAATATGTATATATTTTATGTGTATATGCATATTTATTTATATATGCAGATATATGCACATGTACATATGCATACACGCATACATTTTATATACATGCATGTGGATATACATGTAAACACATATGCACATGCATGTATATATATACATGGGTATACATGCATGTATATGCATATGTATATATAGAGAGAACTAACCAAAAATAGATTCAAATGGATGGATGGAGAGAGAGAGAAGAAACCAAAAATGATCAAAAAATGGATACACACACACACACACACACACACACACACACACACCCCACAAACTTTTACAGGCTTTGATGTAGCACTGTTGTCTAATCTCTTTTTTTCTCTGCTTTCCTTTCAGGGACGGTGCATCAATTTCACTCGAGTAAAGAACCAGCCTCCCGCCAAGTATCCGCTCAACAACGCCTATCGCCCCCCTTCTATGCCTCCTGCCCCCATTTATACTCCCCCACCACCTGCTCCCCTCTCCACTCCCCCACCCCCTACTTCCCCCACACCCCCAACGCCAAACCCACCTTCCACACTTCCTCCGCCCCCTCATGCCCCACCCCCCAACCGAGTGCCACCTCCCTCTCGCCCCCCACCTCGGCCTTCTGTCTAGAATTCAGACTTCATCCTTTCTGCTATCTTTGATGCCTTGGGAAGAAGCCCCTCTACAGTATTATAGCATACATCTTTCAAATCAAAGAGAGCTTTTGTTTTCAGAAATGGGCAGCAATCAAAGAAATCATACACACTTTTTTTAAAATTTAGGAGCAATAATTAACTGACAACTTCAGGGTCAGTCAAAAGAAAAAGAAAAATTTTAAAGTGCCTTTTAAAAAGCTAGCTGGCTGGGTGACAATATAAGGAACGTTGTCTAATCTCCACCTCTGAAAGAAGGCCATTATGAGGTTCCCCCTGGGGTCAGATGAAAACCAGCATGATGTTCTAATTATTAGGATGTAATCCTATAATTCACGAACCCACAATTCACTGTATTTCAATGGCCTAAATGGGAATATATTTCATGGAGACTCACAAGGAAGTCATTTCCTTGTAGTTGAAATGCAAAGTGTGATTAGAAACCATATTCCTGGAATTCTCAATGCCTTCTCCTCAACCCTACTGCTCCCCATACCCACTCTAGCCTTGACCTTGAGACTTCAGGAATTAAATAGCCTTTTGACTTTTGCAGAGCTGTAACACATCTTTTCAATCAAAGGAGGGTTTCATTTTTTGTTTTGTTTTGTGTTGATTTCTAGCAAGAGTTAGTCAGTCAGCAAAGAAGAGTCTGAAACTCCATTGGTGGGCGTCTGAGAAGTGTACCCTCAAAGAGGCATCTGCCTGGGAGTTATGGAGACCAAAAAGTATCTCTCCAGCCCAGACCAGAACAGTCACAATGATGTGGAAGCAGGGGTTTGTGGAAGGATTTGGGTACGTTGTTTTGTAGAAGTGGAAATGAAGTGTCATTCAGAGAAGAATCAGCATGTGTATAAAAGGTGAACCAGTTGTTTCATAAACAGAATGAATCCTAGAATGTCAGAGCTGAAATGAGACCAAACTCTTCATTTTACAGATGAGGAAACTGAGGCTCACAAAGGTTCAGTGACTTGTCCAAGTCAAATAGTTACTAAGTATAGGTAATAAGCCAAGAGTCAAACCTGAGTCCTCTGATAAATCCAGTGCTTTTTCCATTACAGATAGACTTCGTACACAGCCAAGGAAAAACTCAGGAAGGGGACTAGGCACTTTAGTCCTATTGAAAAAGTTCTCAAAACCTGTGGCTCATGAGGACATAGAAATACCCCAACTTTCAATCAGACAGCTCCTCTTTCTTAGCACCATATGCCCTAATCATTCAACAACTTCCATTCATGTGCAGGATCACAGGCTAGCTAGGCTTTCAGAGATGAGTGGCATGAAGAAATAATCCATTTGGGATTTGTTCCCACCAAATTGGAAGTGAGTATCTTCCCAAAATGTAATCATTAGTAATGGTTCCCATAATACCATCGATTTTTTTAAAGTGTCATTTCAGAGCTGGGATTTTAACTGAACTTTCAATTTCTAAATGGTTACAGGGTAGGGTTGGGGGAAGTGGAGGGGTAGGACAGAAGAGGAGGTATGGGGGAGGTTTGCTGTTGATATAGGAGGATCATTCCAAGCCCTTTGAGTAATATGAATAATATGAGAGTGTTTATGTATATATTTCTTCTCTAGGGTCCAAGATAATCACATCCATCCATTATCATCTGTTAGCCAAGGTGAGGTCAGGCCAGATGTGCAAAATAGAAGTAGGTCAGCAAGGAATGCACTGACTGCAATTTCATAAGCAGGCCCAGGGCCCACCCAGCTCTATAGCATAACCTAGAAAGGACTATAAGTTAACTTTCTGAACATCTGCCTTCATTACACAGTACTAGAAGAAGTCAGGAAAGCTTACAGTGATATTCTCTACCCTATCCCATTTTCCTTCTCTTTTCCTCCAGGCTGAGTAGAGAGTTAAAATGGCCACTTATACAATATAATGTGAGGAGGACCTATCTCTTCAAAATAACTCTAATCTCAAATAGTTTACTGTAATATCTGAAATTCCTACCATTCACTGTTTTTGGTTCCATGACATATATTACCTAGGAAGAATTTCACATTAAAATGCAAGAATCTACTTTGACTTAGATTAGCTAAGAATCCATGATGTCACTGGGGAACATGGAATTTGTAACCCAGCAATCCACCTGCCTCAGATATAGTAATTAAGTCCTAAGGAACTGCCCAAAGCTCATAAAGATTAAGTGACTTGCCAAGGGTCATAGGGCTACTAAGTCAGAATTTCATAAAGCTACTAAGTCAGGGAACTGGACGTAGGTTTTTCTGATTCTAAGCCCAGAATACATTCCAATATATTGCTTTTGTTATTTGATTATGTCAAATTATACTCACAGACCTAAAAGGTCATCTAATCCTCATGTTTTACAAAAGTAAATTACTTTCTCAATTTTGCCTAGAGCTAACCCTGCCCCTTCGAGAATCATAGAATGTCAATGCTGAAAGGGACCTCGGAACAGAAAATAATGTCAGAACTAGAAGGAAATGTGGAACCTAGAATGTCAGAAGTGAAAAGAACCTTAGAGATAATTTAGTCCAAACCCCTGCAGGATTGAAAACTGAAGCCTAGAAAGGATCCATGACTTATCTAAAGAGGAAGCCAGAGCCAAAATCCAGAGCCCTTCCCTCCTAGCCTAGGGTTCTTGCCACAGCACCATGTTGCCTTCTCCCCTTCTAGGAATCTTTCAGGATTTCTTTTGCCACAAGAGACATGAGTGTTTGAGAACTTCTGGCAGATTGTTTTCCCCTTTCCCATTTCCAGAGCGAACTTCACCTTCTGCTTTTTATGAACATCAATTTGGAAGCAGGGCCAGACAGTTCCTCTGCTAGCCACAGTGATATCATTGAACACTGGATCCCAGACACCAGCTGTCATATTTTGTAGGAAAGGAAACCTCTCTTGGTCTCCCAAGCTCTTGAGGTTGGAGATAATCAGACCCATCCAACCGTTTTGTCTGCTGGCAGCACAGAACGGTACTTTTTCCCAGCCCTCAAGTGGTAGTGGTCCCTGCAATAACAGTAGCAAACACTCCTCTTGTCCTTCAATGTCCTGCCTAGTATACCCCTTCTAGTGGTGGGGCTCAAGATCTCACAACTGGGGCTAAATGCCCTTCCTCAAAAGCCATGCAGCACGGTTTTCCCTGAGCTGTGGTAGCTGTATCCCAAAGCACACAGTATTTGTACTGTGGGAATGTGGAATAATCTCATGAAGAATTGACAGTGTTTGTTCTTCAAACGTGAAATTAAAAAAAAAAAAACTTTGTGAAAATGACCCTCCTCTAAAAAAAAAATCAGTCATCAAATGATGTAACAATGATGTCGCATGATGTCTCCAGTCATTTGGAATGGCTGGAGGTGGGGAATGGGAATTTATATACACTGTAGTGATTGAATCTGTATTTTGTTAACAAGCTATTGAACAGAGAAAAGTCTTCCATCAGCCATTTTGTAAAACCCATCAGGACATATTAGAGTTAGCCTCTCTATGTGAAAGAAGCAGAGGACATACAATTATGATCAGGAAAATATACAAAATGATTTTTTCAAAGCCCATGTTGAAGTCCAGTTCCAAATTCATGTTGTATATATTCTTAATGCATGCTTACCATATGTTAGATGGAAGCATTTCCTATCCAATGTGGATAAAGAGAACAGTTGTAGTAAATTATTATAAAGTCGGTGATATTTCACGGCAGGTACCAAGCTGTGCTTGTTTGTTGTCTCATGATTGTATTGCTTTTTTTTTTATAAATGTACAAATATTACTAAAGGGACGAGAACCTATTTTGCATAGCATTAATTGGGATGGCTCATCCCAATCTGCCTTCTACAAGTCAAGCTAGTTTGTGTGTAGCCTGGGACTTAGGGATATTATTGTGTGCCACATTTACATACCAGCTTTATGACCTATTAAGTCATAATAGTGTGAACAGATAAATAGTAAACCTGGAAGGTATTCTGGCTGGAATTCACTACATTAGAAATCTTCCCAGAATAAGCATTAGTGATCTCCTGTGCACAAGATAGGAAAACATAAACATGCAGCACTTAGCACAGTGCCTGGCACATAGTAAGTGCTTAATAAATGTTTATTGAGTAATTACTGATTGATTGACATACTAACACTGCAGATTTAATAAAAAACTAATGCCGTGTAAATCAGGTTGAATCAGTTCATGTACTATATATAGAGATATATCCAATAAAATCCCATTTATCCAGAATGGTTGGGGAACAGGTATTCTGATTAATTGAACATTCTAGTTAAACTGAATGTTACTGTATATACCATACATGCATTATCAATTTTCAAAGAATTAGACTATTATAAAGTACACTTAACACTAACTATGCTGAACATATTGCATCCTTCTTTGGTTACTTACATGGAATTTCAGAAACTTTCAGTGCCTCAAGTTCATTGTTATCAACATCCATTATCTTTGTACAATACTGTAGGTGTAGAAGATATGGGATATTGGGTAGAATCTGTACTATGACATTCTCTAGAAGTTGCTTTTTAAAAATAAATCCCAAATGCCATCCTGTTTGTCACTTGTCTCTTTTTCACACACATAGAGTACAGACTATGCTAATGTATGAAGTCCAGAACATCATGGAGAGGCTGCCTTTCTAAAAATGTAATCACTGTAGCAGAGACTAAAGCAGCCTTCTCCCAAATTGTCCTGTCTCCTTTACTAAAATGTTTCACTGTTTCGTTACTGTTCATTACTGCAATATTCAAAACCTTTACAATAATTTCTGCATTTGACACGTCGACTTCCTTATCAACATCAATACCATCTTTCCAGTGAATCTTTCCCTGACACACATACCCAGGAGAAAGTGATATTATCCTCCTCAAATTTTCCTTAGCACTTTGTCTAGACCTCTTCTTTGCACTATCCCACTCCCTTATGTATCATAGTTATTTGAATACATATCTTTACTGCCCCCACGCAGCTGATGGTACAGTGAGCACTGGGCCTGGAGTCAGAAGGACTTGAGTTCAAATCCAGCCTCAGACACTTACTAGCTGTATGCCCCTGGGTAAGTTACTTAACCCTGTTTGCCTCAGTTTCCTCATCTATCAAATGAGCTGGAGAAGGAAATGGCAAACCACTCCAGTATCTTTGCCAAGAAAACCCTAAATGAGGTAACAAAGCGTCAGACATGATGGAACAACAAACTTTACTGCCTTCCCCCTTTCAGATTGTGAGCTCCTTAGGAGCAAGGCATGTTTTCATCTATCTTGTATTCCTAGCACTGAGCACAGTGCCTTGTACATAGTAGGCACTTAATAAATGTCTATTGGATGTGTTGTTGAATTAAATTTATTTGGAGGGAAGAAAAGGTATCTTCATTTTAAGACTTTGTACCAATTCATTTTAACAACTCTGAAAGATCATCTTGGTCAAAAGAAAATGTGCCACAAATGTAAAATCGGGCCAAGGTTGTTTCCAAATCCTCATTAATGCCTCGTTTATCATAGAAGTCAAGGCATGATATTATTATTTGCAATGGAGAAACACTAAAAGGAGTAAAGTAAAGACACCTTTCTCCTCGCTATTATGTTACATTGTTCTAGAAATACTAGTACTAACAATAAGTCAAGAGAAAGAAAGTAGAGGTAAAAATAACGGTGACAAGATGTTCCCTATTTTCAGATTATATGATGGTTTACCTTATTTAAAAAAAAACCTTAGAATGAACAAAGAAATGAATTATGATAGTTTTAGTAAAGAAGCAGTATATAAAATAAATCAACAAAAAGTGCCACCACTTCTATGTGGCAATAACAAAATCCTGAAGGAAATAATAAAAAGATAAATCATAATCAAAATAATTCATAAACTCATGGAGTCAATCTACCAGGACATGAAAATACAACTATAAAACAGTCTTTAAAGAAATGATGACATAATTGGAAGGACATTCATTGCCCAGGATTGCATTATATATAATATATAATAAAAAAATTTTTTGATACTATCTTAATCAGTTTACAAATTTAGTACTATGCCAATCAAACCACCAATGGAATATTTTAAAGAGCTAGAGAAAACAATAATAAAATCCACTGAGAGGAATTAAAGTTGAGTATTTAAAGTGAAATAATACGAGAAAAAAGTAAGAATGAAAGAATAATTCATAAAGACCTAAAATCATGTTATAAAGCAATACTCATCAAAAATTACTTGATACTATTTAAATAATAAGAAGTAGAATAGACTAGATTAGCAAGAATCATAAATAATTAAATTTAGTGTTATTACCTAGACTTCAACAAATCCAAGAACATAATTTACTTGGATAAGAAATCCCCCTGTTTTCAAAGAACTACTAAGAAAATTAGATAATAATTTGGTAGAAATTAGGTTTAGATCAACATATTACATCATATACCATAATAAATTAAAAATTAATACATTTGCCAAATACAAAAGGTCACACAACTAAAGAAGAAAATGAGACTAGGGACCTTTCACAAACATGGGTAGGTATGGCAGAGGAGACTACAAAAAACATAATAAATAGTTTTGGCATAATAGTTAGGGGCTAAATTTCCAAATTCTGGCACTCATCATAGGATCAGGACCTGTCCTGCAGTGGAAAAGCTGAGATAGAATCATCAGGTGGTGTATTTCCTGACCAGCAAGAATCCATCTGCAGAGTTCATATCTCCTTGGCAAACCTCAAGGGATGCTACATGTTATATAAGTACATATTGTTATCATCATGATTTGGTCCAGAGGGGAGTAGGGGTAGATGTTCAATGAAACTAATTTGATATTTTGATAATGGCCACAACAATTTAGTTTGGAATTGTGTTTACCTAGGAAATCAAGTTTAGAATGAAAGAACATATCTGATGGCACAAGTAAATATGGTGATCAAACTTGCCAAAAGATCCTTAAGAGTATAGGTGTGCAAAGAACATGGGCCAGGTGTGCCAGACACACCCACCCCACATTCTATAAATGTCTATGATAATTCCAGAAAGTGCCAAACTCTAAAACAAAGTGAGAGATGAAAAAAAAAACTGGGGGAGGTCATTGTGTCCTGCTGGGGGCATTGAAGGGTTAGATAGACTTCCTTAAGCTAATTAACCTGGGAAGGGATAAGTGGGGAGTGATGTTATGGAAGTCCCTGCTTTAGTCTCAGTCTCCTACATGTCATAGGAAGGGCTAAAGAAGCAAATTCCAGAAGATGTAATCAGCAGTTCTGAACAGCCAGTTCCTTAGCCATGGAATTAGAACTAAGTTTATATTGAGGATATACTGAGAATTTAATGGTGGGAAGGTGATAAAGGAAGTGAAGATGAGAGAGGACTTGGACAGGCTGTATGGAGTTCACAATAGGACAACCAAGATGGTGAGATGCCTGGAGAATATAACATATATGTGTAACCCATGGCTCAGCCTCCTTCCCCTCAAGACTTTGGGCTCAGATAGACTTGGTTTCAGTCCTGGAAGTCTGACTTCAAGGTCATGATTTCTCTTTGCTTCATTGTTCCCACCTGGAATTATTTTAGGAAAATCTCCAAACATGCTCATGTTATATCTCAAGTCTGGGTTTCTCCAAATATAGACAAAAGGAGGCCCCCACTTCCATACTGGCAATCAAGGTAGCCCATGAAAATTGGGTGTGGGATAGTCTTTATTTTATAAAAAATGAAAAAGACACAAAAGAATCACAGAAACTCATAAACAGATTCAGAGCAGATAAAGTACACAGAGTCCACTAGCTCCCTCTTGAAAAGAACTGAACTCAGGGTTGCTATCAAGACAACCTTGGACAATCTAGTGAGTTCCCCTTTCCCACAGTGTCCTGATAGTTCCCCCACCACCACACCCAAGACTCATAGCACCACCCTGAACAAATAAACCACTGCCAATTAGGCCTGCAGTCAATTTAAGAGTAATTCACTGGGTTTTGCCCTCCACAAAGGATATTGCAAAGGAATTATGGATAACCCTGTTCTTTCTCCAAGGAACATGCTGCTTAAGGAAGTCCCCAATTATCTCTAGAAGGTCCAATCCTTGAACTCTTGAGCATAGACATTCTCAAGGTTGGGCTTAGCCGCAGGCATTGGCCAGAAAACCTAGGGAATCATGCTGCTAAGAAAATTCAAAAATCCCAATCCTCTGCAAAGGAGAATAGGGTTCAGAAAAATTGTCCACAAACTATACTCTCAGGGCATGTGTAACCTCGAGTTATCTCTCATGTTGTTCTGCAATTTATCATCAGTTGCTCCTAGGGAAGGAGGTTGTGCATGGTCACAGGTTCCCGTACACCAAAATTGCAAATCAGTTCAGCTGTGCAAGGGTGGAGAAAGACAAACAGACAGAGAGAGACAGACAGACAAAGAAAGACAGAAACAGAGGGAAACAGAGTAAGAGATAGAGATACCAAGAAGTGAAGAGGCAGAGACAGGAATAGAGACAGACAGATGGACAGACAGAGAGCCAATACTGGTCTATTGAGTCACTTTTATAGACTAGGTTGAGGGGTGGCTCCTCGGACAAAAACTTATCCTCCTGAAAGCCAGCTAGTAAATCATCTTGGAAGCAGGTCAAGTCATAAGAAATGTCTATTCTTTTTGCCAGTAAGCAAATTTACTTCCATAGGGAAAAACTTATAACATTGACCAGGTATTTCTAAGATCTAAGACTTAGAGTTAACCAGAAATGGAGGGGTCAATTCAGAGTCAATATTGGAATGAAATGAGACGTTCATGGGTCATCCAACAGTAAAAATAAAGATGTTTACTTAGTTATAGCATAGAAAGGACACTCAAGAGGAATATAGAATTTGACTCAGGTAGACTCAGCAGCTAGATGGTGCAGTGAATAGAGTGCCAAGCCTGGAGTCAGGAAGCCCTGAGTTCAAATCCAGCCTAATACACTAGATGTGTGACCCTAAGCAAATCATTTAACCCTATCTGCCTCAGTTTCCCCTTCAGTAAAATGAGTTGGGGAAGGAAATGGCAAACTACTGCAGTATCTTTGCCAAAAAAACCCCAAATGGGATCACAAAGAGTCAGACATGACTGAAATGATTGCTTGCCTCAGTTTCCCCATCTGTAAAATGAACTGGAGAAGGAAATGACAAACCACTGCAGTATCTTTGCCAAGAAAACCCCAAGTGGGGTCACAAAGAGTCAGATACAACTGAAAAACGACTCAAGGACTCAGCCCATCTCATCTCCATTAGGAAACTCCTTTGGTTCCCAAGATATCATCAAGTCTGAAGGGCACAAATCCATGTAAACTGTTTTTTTTCATGCAATCACAAAGTCCTCTCAACATCCACAGGGCTTGAGACTTAGCCTCCTGGGCCAATCAAGTTTAGGGAAAACTTACCTGCCTTTTAGAGAAAAAAAAAATTAACCCAGTCTACTTGGAAGGAAGGGGAAGTGAACTCTGATAGTAATAATTTTTATATGGTTATATATTTTATTTTTTTTTATAAATTTACTTATTTAGTTCTAGTTTTCAACATTCACTTCCATAAGATTTTGAGTTCCAAATTTTCTCCCC